AGAAGGAAGGCCCATGGGCCCTTGTCCTTTTGGGCTTTTTCTAATCTCATTGGACTCTACTTATCGGCAAAATATCGGCTTAAAAGCTTTGAATCACTTCGAACGGTTCCCTCGTAAGTATAAAATATAATTGAGCACAGCAAGATGCAGCCAGTGATTCTAATTGCACGATGTTCTTCAGATTTGAACTCTAGCAAATAGTCTCCAACTAATGGGTCAGAAAATATCCATACTGTACAATTATGTTTGCAATCTAATTTCTTCCAAACGATCACAAAATGTTTCTTCTGCGGACAATAAAATCGAAGAAGGTTCATTTATTTTGTCACAGCCCCCTCGACGTCGCATAAATCAGTTTGATATATGGACACCATGTAATCATGAAAAAGATTTAATTCTTGTCTGGATGGATGAACAAATTGATATAGATTCAAAAAATACAATGCAAATGAAAATTTTATTGAACAAAGTCAATGAACATACGCTGTTATTTTCAAATAAAGATCGATTTGTTAAATTTGTGGAAACATTAACAAATGAAACAATATTTCTTATAATATCCGGACAAGTTTCTTCTGATATATTATCATTTGCAAATAGTAAAGAACAGATTCATGCAATATATATATTTTGTATGCAAGATGATGATTATAAAAACTTGATTGATCATTACTCAAAACTGCATCATGCATACAATAATCATGTAGAACTTATTCTTGAAGTACAGAAAGGCATTGATATTTACAAGAAACAATCAATGAAATTCAATTCATTGAGTAAAGATGAGCAAAAATCCATTAGTAATTTATCTCTTGAATCGACCTTATTTTTATGGAGTTATGTACTCAAAGAAATTTTGATCAATACTGATAAATCAGATGATGCAAAACAAGTCATGCTCGCTCATTGTCGTTCACAATATCCATCAGGTGATCCCATGCTAGCGCAAATTGATAAATTCGAAAAAAATTATCAGTCGAAAGATGCGATTGAATGGTACACAAAAGATTCATTTGTGCACAAATTAGTGAACAAATTAATTAGAATCGAAAATATCGATGCATTATTACACCTGAAATTTTTTATTGTGGATCTTTCTGCTTGCTTGAAAATGAAATGGGAACAGGACTATAGCCACAGATCGTATGAATCAATTAAAGTCTTTCGTGGTGCTCAATTAACAAATACGGAAATAGAGAAGTTAAAACCTGATTGTCTAATATCACCAAATGGCTATTTCTCTATGAGTGAATCATTAGAAACGGCCAGTATGTTTGCAGGAAATACATTATTTGAGATTGACATTGATCCATTGGTAGGAAACTTAATATTTGCTAATATTGCTGAATATAGTCAGTTTCCACAAGAACAAGAAATACTGTTCGATTTGGGATGTATGTTTAAAATTGTTAGTGTCATTGAGAGTAACTCTACTCAACCATCGATTGTCAAAATGATTGGTGTGAATGAAGGTGAGCAACTTGCCAACGATTTCTTTAAAACGATAAAAGAGAAAAAGAAATCTAACGGATATGTTGATGGTTTAATCAATGATATTGTACATAAAATTGGCTATGAACAATTCATTCGTCTTTATGAATATTTTTTGAGGCTTTCAACAGCTGATACACAGAAAATTGTCAAAAATTGTTTTAGATTTGTGAATTTATATGAAAAATGTTGTGATGCTTCAAATGTGGCTGTACTATATGGTTGTTTTGGATGGTTTTTGACACAGAGAGCAGAATATGACTCGGCTATTGTATCTTGCACTCGAGCATTATCATTAGTAGAAAGAAAATCATCGAATGGCAATATGACCATTGAAATTGCCATGATTCACAATACAATCGGTTGGAGTTATTATGAAAAAGAAGATTATAAGACTGCTTTGGACTGGTGTCAGAAAGCGAGAAAGATATTCGAACAATGTTCATATGTCGAAGATTCGAAATACGTCAGAATTCTACGATCAGAGCAAAATTTGAAAAAATCTCCATCACGTAACGCTATTGAATACGCCGAAATTCTTACCAATATTGGATGCATTTATTATAAAAAGAACGATTTTGTTACAGCAATTCACTATTGCAAAAAATCCATGATCATTCTCAAACAATGTGATCACAAAATCATATTCGATAGTCATAATCGAAAGGTAATAGCTTCGAACTATGAAATTGATAATCATCATGAAACGCTTGCAGCTAATTATGAAGTTTTTGCCGATGTCTATTATAAAAAGGAAAACTATAATCTTGCACTTGAATATTATCAAAAAGCGCAAGTTATATTTGAAACAATAACACCACGAATACCGATCTGTTTGCAAAGATCACCATCCATTTTCGGTCGAAATATAAAACGTTTGCAAAATTCTATTCGAATTACAGAACGAAAACTCGTTGTCAAGAACCAAAATACTACATTACAACAAGAAAGAGAAAGAAAACCAATTGATTGAACATTACCTGATTTGGTAGCTATAGAACTGCAGAACTCGAGATTTTCGCAAGCTGTCACCTGCTCCTGTAATGTCCTGCATATTTTTTCTCTTAACCTGCCTTAATCTTGCCCTGTACTACAGAAATCTTCTCTTATACTCTTATGTCAAGTTTTTATGTCATCAATATCGATAGTTGTCATTTTACTTTCTGCCTCTAAATATAACTCACAGCAAATTTCGACGTTAGATTGGTTCGTGCACTAGTCTTTTGTTCGTAAGTTTGTTCGTTCTGAAATCATTTTATGTCCAATCGATATCAACTATGCAATTCGCTTGTTCTACTATCTCATATCGTCAGAATGCTCTACACATGGTGACTGAAATATTTCTATCACAGAGTAACAGGTTATAATCTCAGTAATTTGCAACCTGTCCTGCAGGGCTCTATTCTTAGTGCCACTGTGAGAATATAGGAAATCAAAAGCATCATTTATATAGGATTTCACGCAAGTATATAAGAAAAATATATAGGAGAGTGTGGGTGCGCAAAAAAGAACTATATCCACACCCAGCGTTTTTGTCTTTTTTTGACCATTTTTGAAACCAAGCAAATGTTCTCTCTATTATTTCCTCATAATCCTTCAATCACCTCTTACTACGTATGATCGAAACAAAACAAATGAAATAACCCAAGCCAGTTGCATTTAGATGAAGGAATGCTTCGGTCTAGGACATGCAAGCATCAAATTAGGATCCTACCTTAGATATTTGATCCAAGACCTAGGTTCGATTTTCGTTCGTTATTTGTCTATACTGTATCAAATTTTATTTTTGTGTAAACATAATTCAAACACGTTCTGAAAGAGAATATTGACGACGACATTCGAAAAGGGTGTGAACGTGAGAGTGTATGTGTCGTGATAGTAGAAGGAAGCGTCTCATACGTAGGTAATGTTAGCACCAGATTCGCGTATTTCCTGTGCCGATTCGCCCCTACGTCTGTGCTGGTCCCCTACTTGGTTGTGCTGGATGCAGAATTTAATTCTCTATCGAATG